ATGTGTCCCGTGGGCGCAGATGCAGCCATAGTGCAAAGGTTGAAGCAGCCCCCGTCCCATGGGTGTCCTGTGCCCTCGGCTGGGGCGGGGGCACACGGACCTCAGGGGGTGTCAGGCTGAGCCAGAGGAGGAGCGGGTTCAGTGGGCTTCAGCCCTGAGATTGCATTAACTGTGCAAAAATAGGGTAGCTGCAAAAATACCCGTGGGTGGAGAAGAGCTGGGAGGTCTGGCTGTTGGTGAGAGCTGCGGGCTGTTGCTGGGGCCAGGTCACCCCGGGGTGGTCAGGGTGCTGGCCAGGTGGGTGACCCCCAAGGTTGGGGGGTTCCCTCGCAGCCCCTGGCCGTCGTGCCTCCTGCTCAGGTGACAGTCTGGGCACATCGGGCACTTGAATTCCTGCGGCGTTTGCCTTGCTTTTCAAGTGCCTCGTCAGGTGATGTCATTCCGTGTTGTTAATTGTTTCTATGCCTTCGTGTTAACTGTGCCTGCAGGTACAAAGTGACTCAGGCAGAGCTGTTTGCGTTGTTGTGTCGTCTGGCGGATGAATTGCTTTTCAGGCAGATTGCTTGGATCAAGAAGCTGCCGTTCTTCTGCGAGCTCTCCATCAAGGACTACACCTGCCTGCTCAGCTCGACGTGGCAGGAGCTGATCCTGCTCTCCTCGCTGACTGTTTACAGCAAGCAGATCTTTGGTGACCTCGCGGACGTCACCTCCAAGTACTCTCCCTCTGATGACGAGCTGCACAGGTGAGATGTGGAGCTGAGCTTGGGCGAGGGCTGGGATCTGGGGATGGAGGAGCCGTCGGGAGGATGGCATTTGGGCGCCCTGTCACCACCGAACCACCTCTGCTGGGATGGGTCGCTTCACCCACGGCTGTTTCTTAGGGAATGGTTGGTTGTTCCAGGTTTAAAGTGCACCATGGTCAGTCAGTGTTGAATCAGAACTTCCCTCTGCTGGGAAGGGTGCACGATGCTGTGTGCTGCTGTTTGAAGTTCTTGTAGCAATGCTGTCGTCCTCCAGCACAGCCCCACAAACCGCTTTTATTATGGGGAGAGTAAAATACCCAACGCTTTGGGTAACCCTGAGATACAGGATGGAAGGTCTTATTTAAAAACCCATTGGGCCAGCGGAAAGGTTGCTCACAAAGCTGGTTGTCTGTGTTATCAAAGTGTTCATTATTAATTGCTATTTCATTGTTTTGATTACATAAATTTGAAGATGTTGCAACTTAGCTCTTGTTTTTCCATAGTACGTACTATCTGATGCTCCGAGGAACCTGCCTTTCATTTATCATCCTGGCCAGGGCGTTGTTTTTTGGTTTGGGTGTTTTGCTTTGTACTCTTGGTGCCAGACGGATCCTCCTTTTGGTAGCAGACTCATAATCTCACGATATTACAGCAGAATAGGTGGGATTTACGGAAACTGCTGCCCACCCTCCCTTTTAACACCTGCCCCATTGCCCAGGCTTGGCAATTTCGCAGGAGTCACCAACGGATCCAAGTCTCTGATGAGCAGAGATTTAAACACTGCTGAGGTCCTCGGCTGTCGCAGTATCTGGCGGTTCCGTGGGGTTCCTTTGTGCATCTCTTTTGACAACCAGAGGGGCTGGCCGGCTGTGGGCGCGGAGGAGCCAGGAGCTGGACCCAGGTGTCTCATTTCCTGGGGCAGGTTCCTCCGCGGCGCAGCTCTGCCCGGCCATTCATCGTGCATCTGGTGCTGCTCCTGCGAGGAACAGCGAGGGTCAGAGAACCGCAATAACACTTGTTCTGCATTCAGCCACGCCTTTTGTTCCTGCCGTCCTGGTCAGAGCCTGGAAAGAGAAGTGTTTGTTTCATTTTGGGTTTGTGATAAATACAAGCGAGAGGTAAGAAAACAAGACAAAAGAGGAATCCTTGCCCTCCGGGAACCGGCAATTCAGAGCTGGTCGCCTTGAAAGTCCTTCAGAGAAGATCTGTGTGCATGGATGAAAATAGGTGTTCTTGGGAGACAAGTGTTTCTACAGTCGCTTCTTCTGATTTAGCTTTTCAAGTGTCATTAATTGGCATTAGTGACACGGGGAAAATGCCCACCGAAAAAACCACGGAGCGGGCAGTTGCACAGAGGAGGGGTCTCGTGGCACGGCTCCCTCCCCGTTGTCTTTACAGGGGTTCAGCCTTGGCTCGGCTGCCGGCGGGCGGCAGTGGGGTGGTTGGTGGGTCTTGGTCTCCCTGTGGGACACACTTGTGGACAAACTGGTCCCTTTGGACTGGAGAGGTGTCCAGCTTGTGGCTTTCCCAAAGAGCCCCCGTTCCTCTGGCGTAGATCAGGATTGACTGCAAACTGGGGTTCATCAGGTCTCCCAGCTGGCTGAAGGAACCTCACTGAGCGCTCAGAGCCCGGCACTTTGGGGGTGATTTCTGTTCTTAATTAGCAAAATGCCGGGAGCAGTGCTCGTGCTGAGGCAGGTGATGGTGAAGGCAGAGGATGAGCTCCCCAGCCCCTGTGTTTTAATCACTTCTAACAACTGGCTGAATGTTCCGTTTGCCTGCTAGAGCCAATGTTTTCTTTTATTGTGCTGTTTTTCTGGAGATGAATATGAAATGAATAGATTCCTGACCTCCCCCAGCACTCCTGATAGCGCTTCCCTCCCCCCTCCTCCCTGGCTGATCCCGATAACTCCCAGCCTGGTGTAAACTGCGAGGAGAGGTGTGTGGAGGAGTCAGTCCTCGAGAAGAAATAGGGCTGTGAAAAACAGAACAGCTTTGTTTGAAAGGGGGAGGAAAGTATGCACGGCAAAGTAAGCCAGTTCAACTGCAGGGACGAGAGAAGAGCTCTCCTGGATTTATGAAGTGATGAGTGGCTGGTAAAAATGTGCATGCTCCAAAAACAATTAAACCCAACAGACGACTGAGTGGTCTTTGTGCTCATTAACTTCTTGAGCTTTGCAATCTTGCACCTGCAAGATTTTTAATGTCAACTTGAGAGCAAGAAAACTTGTACAACTTCAGATGAGCCGACAAGGCTTTCATCGCTGACAATATTACTTTCTCGAAGCAGTGACCTGCGGTTCAGATAGTTTGTTTTCACTTCTCTGGGGTCAAACTCCACCGTGCATTTTACAAATAACTTTGAAGTAAACAAACGCATATGCCAAAATAAGGTATTATTCCGTGAAACAGGTTCTATTTTTGTTCTATTCACAGACGTCTTTCTGCCTCTGCTGTTATTCTTTGTGCTGTACAATGCTTCCCTGAGCACTTCTGTCCCTCTTCTGAGCGTTTCTGCAATACGTGGTTTCTTTGAAGCAGGGGGTATTGCTGCGAGCTGCGTTCCCGAGAGGCCATTCCTGGCTGTGGGCAGGCGTGGGATGGTGCTGGAGCGTGCCCGCGGGCTCCGGCAGCCCCCCGCACTCCCCAGCTCTGCTGCTGCCCGGTGCCTGCGCCCCCGCGGCTCCGGGGTGCCCGGGGTCATCGCTTCTGCAGAGGAAGGACCTTGTTCTGCACCTGCAGACTCTCCATCGGGCGCTTTTCCAGCTGTGTGTGTTGATGTGTGATCTCTCTCCTCCAGATTCAGTGAAGAGGGGATGGAGGTGATGGAGCGGCTGATCTACCTCTTCCGCAAATTTAACCAGCTGAAGGTCAGCAACGAGGAGTACGCCTGTATGAAAGCCATTAACTTCCTAAACCAAGGTGAGTCGGTGCAGAGACGATATCGGCCTCGCAGGAGGAATTGTCTGAAACACTGAGCAGTCTCGGCTGCCCTAGCAAGATCTGGGAGGAGGGGCTCTGGGACCTTGGAGAGACTCGAGCTCTAGAACCTCTCTGTACGTGTTGCCATCATGCAAACCGTGCGCCAGGCAGAGCACGATTCTTGGGTACCCGCATGGAGAAATTCTGGAAGTGAAGGAATTCGTTTGCTTGGCCCATTTTAATTGCCTTTACATCTAGACACCAGGGACAGTGGGTGTGTGATTTCACACGCGTACCAGCGGTACCGATAGCAGAATCAGAGCAGAGCTGGGAGGCTGGGGGAACCTTTCTGGGTAAGGTTTGGGTGGGTGATGACTTCCCAGCTGCTGACAACTTTTCATCAGGGCAGGATGTGTCATCTAAAAGTGTTACTGCTCTAGGTAACTGTTCAGGCAATTCACTAAATGATAGTTTTAAATCATTTATTTGCATTGCTTTTTTCCTGTAGTGAGCATTGGCTGTTTGCATAACAAGCTTTCAAAGGTCCCCCACTAGAAAATGTTTTTGTTCATTTTTCTGCTTTTAAAAGGTGAATTTGTAAAACTGATTCTCCTTTTTTTTTTTTCTAGAGCTTTTCTGACTCTTTAAAATATTTACCCTCAGGATATATGCTTAGGTCACCTAGCTGGCTTCCTCCTGTTTAGATTCTGTACCCAATGCTAAGTCTTTAAAGTGGAAAGGAATCACGAATGAAGTATTTATGCAATGAACTCTGCTTAAGGAGGGACTGTATCCTGTTGATGGACGAGTGGGTAGACCTGGCAGCCCAGCCTGCCACAAGACACGACCCTTATTTCAGAGTTCGTGCAAAATAATTCTTCAATGTGTGAGAAGAGCCTGATCGTTTCCTAACAACTGTAGTAGGCTGAAATAGTTTGGAATAGATGGTTTTGTTCCTCAGTAGTGTTCGTCCCCATCTCCACTCCCATACATTGTCTCAAGCCGCTGCTCCTGGATCCCTTTTCACGGACGGTGGTTGTCGCAGGATGTTTCTTCGGAGACAAACGCTCAGTGGATGGTGTTCAGCTGTAATTTTGGAAATAAATGTCCCCAAAGTCTTTTCTACCGTGAAAGATAGTTGCAGTTGGTGCAAATGTGCGGCGGGCTCCCTCCTCCCCTGCTCGTTTCCCGCAGCAGATAGTGCTGACGCTTCAATCTGTGCCGGGCGAGGTTCCGCTTTGCTTCCCTGGGCAGTTTCCTGACACTGGATAATGCGCCTCTCGAGCTGTCCCCATTGTTTTCCGAAATGTATTTTCATTAACTTCCTGTCTTCTTTTATTTTTAGTTGAAGTTTGCAATTTTTTATTGTGAAATACCTGGGAATTATTTTTAAAAGTCAGCTTTGGGGCAGCAGACAAATGCCTCTTCCGTCAGATGGTGTTCCAGTGCCGAGCCTGCACGAGGGTCCGCCCGCGGCGGCGGCCCCAGCCCCTTCCCCGGCCCCCGGCAGCGTGCCAGTGCCATCGCCCACACTGAACGGTGGCAGGGGCCCTTCCTGCCACCAGTTTGATGGCTTGGGAACGTCTGTTTTTCCTTTGTGTACGTTGCCGGACATTGGCAACGCTAGATTTAAAAATAAGGAGTTAGTGACTTTATAAAGCTCGTAGGACAGAATTCATAAGCAGGTGGGGAGAACTATGACGATACCTTGAATTACAGAGTGAGTGCCTTCCCCAGCCAGGATGATACACCTGAAACCAACGTGTTTCTGTCCGAGGAGGGTTACGCTGAACCCGCTGTGGGGACGAAGCCTTGGCGTGTGGCTGCTTTACGCCCCGCCAGCGGGATTCAGCGCTGCCGGGGCCGTTACCTCCCAGAGCATGTGCTGAGCTCTGGGCGTGAGCGGCTTAGGACATGAGCTGTGCTCATCCTGGTCTTCCCTGGGAGGGAATCCTGTGCCCAGACGTGCATGTAGAGACGCACCTGTGATGCCGGCACGGCGGGAGGGATGACGGGAGTTCTTCATGTTGGTCTAACTGAGCGCTTGAGCCGGTCTCCGAAGCAGGGACCCAGCCCAGTCCTAGCAGTCGGTCTGTCTGACCCGAAGAACGGCCACGCGTGCGAGGCTGCTGCTCTTCTGGGGTGTTTTTGTCGTGTGTTCATCGCTCTAATCATGTTCGCTTTCAGACATCAGGGGTCTGACCAACGCGTCCCAGCTGGAGCAGCTGAACAAGCGCTACTGGTACGTCTGCCAGGACTTCACGGAGTACAAGTACCCACACCAGCCAAACCGTTTTCCGGATTTAATGATGTGTTTGCCAGAGATACGATATATTGCAGGTAACTTTCTGACTTCTTCTCCCACTGGGATGGATCATGTGCAAGTTATGAAATTTGCTTTTAGAAGAAAATGAATTTATAACAGCAAATCCTTCTTGTCTTGGGTGGAGAAGGTTTGGGTGGGACCTTTCTCTGTTGAAGCCCCTCGCCCCCCTTTGGGCCGGGGCTCACCCAGCCGGGCTGGCTCTCTGCAGGCTGTCAGTGTGCTGCTGGCGGGTGTAGCGGTACGTCCCGCTCCTTGCTCTGACCTGCCCCCCTTTGAGTACTTTGGTCGGGTTCTCCTTTTATTTTTTTTTTTCCTTTCAGTCCCAACTCGGAGGCGTTTTGTCTCCAAAGGGTGTAATCCTGATTTGAGTAGTTATAAGAAATAGAGATCCCTGAAATGCTGCTTAATTAAGGAGCAGGTGGTGAACAGAGCAGCAGCAGACCTGCAGCTAACCCCCAGGTTCCAGCTCGTCCGGACCTCCAAAATCCACGGGGGGATTTTCAGATGCAGTTGCACTAGCTGGGTCTGCAGGGTCTGCTGTCGCTGAAGCATCGTTTTATGTTATGGCAAAGGGAGAAACTTGCCTCCCCATGTCAAGGCTCCGTATGCTCCATCCGACTCGATTGTAACGAACTAGATAAAGATCACAGGGTGGCTCTCGTCATTTACTCATTGAGATCAACAAGGGGTTAGAGGAGAGACGGGATTTAGTCTTTCCCGGCTTCTATAAATACTGCTCCATTGTGGATAAATCGTTTTGATCTGACTTTGCCCATTTATTTTGCTTTCAATTGAGTAAAGAATAAATCCCGTTGCGTCCAAATTAATATCAAATGTCTAATGCAGCAGGAGGATGATTAACTGTTTCTCTGAGAGGTTCAAGGAAAAACCGTCTCCAGCGTTGCTGGCTTAGGTGTCTCTGAAATCTGATTCAGGAGTGGCTGCTAATTCTGGTTAATTTTTTTTTTTTTTCTTACCAGGAAAAATGGTGAATGTCCCCCTGGAGCAGCTGCCTCTCCTCTTTAAGGCTGTTCTACATTCCTGCAAGACGAGCGTGAGCAAAGAGTGAGCCCAGCTCGCCCGGCCGGAGCCTCGGGCAGGAGCTGGCTCGCCGCGGGGGAGGGGGGAACGCCGTCCGGGCAGGAGACGGGGCGGTGGGCGTCCCTGCCATTGTAGCAAGAATCTTTTTTGTTTGTTTTTGTTTTTTTACTCTTTTTCCTATATATTTATTTCACGACAGAGTTGAATGTATGATCTTCAACACGATGCACATGGTTCTGTATGAATGCAGCAGATGCATTCTCCAGCGGTTTACAGAATGTGAAGATGTTTAATGTTACAGTGTTTGTTAGGGTTAGTGCTTTTGTATTTTGGGGCTGGGGACTGAGATGACTAAGACTACCTCAAGATGCTGTTCGCACACTGCTCTTTCCGTGATTTGTATCCAAAAGCGTTTGTCATAGAGAGCAAACGGCCTCACCGCATCGCCGGAGCCGTTAGAGTCCCAAACGGGCGATTTTGGAGAAGCGGGTGTTAGAGAAGTGCCAAGCTTGTTTTCTTTGCATCCAATAATAATTTTTAAAAGGCAAGGAGTGGGGGCTCACTGCCCTGTCCCCCAGGGAGCTGTGGGAGTGGGTTCTGCCCCAGCCCCAGCCGCCCCTCCCTCGGCCGCACGCCTTCCCGTCGGCTGGAGTCAGGTCGCTGCGGATCGTAGCAGGCTCCTGGCGTTACACAAAGTTCTCTTGGTGCTGGAGAACTGCAAATAATTTATCATCGCTTAACATCCATTTTAGGTTCACAGAAGCAGGGAGAACCTTAGAGCAGAGGCAGGATTGTCCCTTTAGCATGTGCCTCCCTCCCGGGCGGTGCATGGCTGCCGAGAGGCTCCAGCGCTGCAGCGTCGCCGGCGTTGCTGCCACCCCGCGCAGCCGCTGCTGGGAGCAGGCGACCACCCTGCGGTCAGACCTGTGGATGGGGACGGGGACCCTGGTGTCCTCTGGCACAGCTTTCTCTGCTGGTTCATAGGGGTATCCTACCAGGACTGTTCTGCTGCTTGTGGAGTCCCTTCTCACCAGGAAGAACCGGGTTTGATGCAGTATTTACTGATCTGGTTTGCCCTCGGTGCTGCAGGGGTTGGATTTTCCGTCTCGCAGCCTCCCCACCACCCCGCTGCCCAGAGAGCTGCTTTCGGGACAGCAGGGTAGCTGTTGGAGCAGGTGCTGGGTGTGGTGCTCAGCTAAAGCTGGGGTTTCTCCTGGGTGACCTCAGGGCTTCCTGCTGCTGGGGTGGTGGGGAGGTTGGACGAGATGCTCGTGCTCTCATCCCCTGCGTTGAGAATTCACTGTTGAAGGCTCAGTCGCTCTCCCAGGCAGCTGGGTCGCCCTGGCTGGATTCCCCATGTCCTTGGGTATGAACCTGATCTTTATGTAGCAAGAGGGTTCATCAACAAATTTTTGGATGCTGTTTTAAAAATATTTTGGGGAACAACTTCTGTTCCTCCAGGGCAGAGGGAACTGGCTTGGCACATCTCGGCGAGGCGGCAGCTCAGCCGTGGCCCGGGTGCTCCCGGAGACCCGCGGTGCCACCGCCACCTTCGCAGTCCCACTGGGGCATCTTCCAGCTCGGTGGTGAAAGTCCGCCAGCTGCTGGTTTGTCCCTGTTTGGATAGGGTGTTACGGGTATCGGCTGCTGGGCCCAGCAGCATTCAGCTCCTTCGAGCTTCTCGATCCAAAGGCGGTTCCGTAAATCTCGTTTGCTCTCCGGCTGTGGAATGAGACGAGCGCGTGTTTCTCAGGAAAGCCTTCCGCATACAGCCTATACCTCAAGCGTAAGTGGGAAGATTTTAGTGTATCTGTTTGTAAGTTAGAAAGTATTTCTCAGCTTTTAAGTTTAATTTCCAAATAGCTTGATATGATCTTTTTATTACGGGTTATCTTCTGGCTTGCTGTTTTATACACTCGAGGAATTGTTGAAATTGCATAGGAGTAATTCTGTTCTACAGCGACTGAATTATTATGATCTGTTGATGAATTAAGAGTTTGTTTTAATTAGTGTACATAAAAGTGGTCATCCTGTTGCCAAATACCCAACAGACAGAATCTAGTAGATATTCTGTGTTTATCCAAAAGAGACTCCCAAGACTAGTGCTGTACCAACAACAAACCTAAATTCATTTATGGTGACGAATGGACACGGATGTTCTGCTTTCTGTTGTCTAAAGCAAATTCTACAAAGGTTGGTTGGCAGCAGCATCCGGTAACAAATAACCCATGTGGTGTAGGGAGTAGCAGAGCCTTACTCAGCTGACGAGTAAGGAAGAAGCTGATACACCGACCCAGAGTCGAGCTCACCGGACAGTCGTTCTGAATATCTTCTGCACCAAGTCCTCTGACGGCTTGTATTTTTTGAACAGGGTAAAGTGAATGTGTTGCATTGCAAACTCAGGTATTATGAGAAGGTAGGAACGTAGCTAGAGATGTAGAGACGTTAGGTTGGTCGCTAGATGTATTTGTGAATTTGGTTTGAAGGACACCCTGGAAAGGTTGGAATTTTTGTTCCATTCTTCACGTAACGTACAGTTTACAGGGACTCATATTTTATTTGTGCTTAATGCTAGTAGGGGGAAGTTCATTATCTTCGGTATCTATCTGCTCTTGCTTATCTGACCTTCTGTCATAGAGGAATCCATCAACAATAATAGTCTTTGGTAGAATTTTCTGCCATGACAAGTCAATTTTTATCCCCGATTTGAAAGATAAATTGGCTGACTGACCCCCTCCTCTCCTTCACAGCGGTTGTGCAGATGGAAGGCTGAAGAGTTACTTTTAATCCGAGCAGGGATTTGGGACATAAATTTGATGGGCTCAGGCTCGCAGACTCAGAGGGACTCTGCCCAGTTGCTGCTCCGCAGCTTGAGGCTCGTCTCCCAGTACAGAGCTGAGCAGAACCCGCTGCCGCCAGCCGAGGGGCTGAGACCCAGCCCCAGCGGCCAGACCCCGGGACCCGAACAAAAGGTTTTTGCAAGTGACGGGTTTTTATCCACTGCCTGCCCCGGGTCAGGCTCTGTCCCATGAGCTGAGTTGCTCCTGGTCTGTGTCGGTGGCGAGTCGCTGTCCTGAGCATCCATGTCCCAGGATGCTCAGACATGCTGGGTACCGACGGGCTCCGGGCACGGCAGAATGGGTGCTGCAGGAGGTAACCCCCGGCTGTTTGCATGTGTATTAATTACCTTCTAATTGTTAATAGTGCCCATGGCGTTCATCGTTCCCATCTCGTGCCTGCCAGCCCGCAGCGCTGCGCCGAGGCACCGCACGCTTCGGGTCATCAGGGTGCAGCTCTGGATTTTTCTGTGATTCCTAAAATCCGGAGCTTTTGCAGTCCTCCCTCCCCCAGAGACCAAGGGGGGAACATGGTGTTTTCGGGGCGATCGGTGCAAAGCGGTCAGTGGGGTTCCAGCGGCTCCCCTGGGAACACCCATTTCCCTGTGCCGGGGTGTTGCTTCGGGTGAGCCCGCTGCCGGTGGGGTCTGGGGGCTGTGCCCCCCCGTGCAAAGGCTGGAGCTGGCGTCGAGCCGCTCGCTGCCCGTCCCTCCCTCTGCCCTGCAGCAGCTCTTCAGGCTCTGCACAGAACCGCCGCCACCTCGGGTTTAGGATTTTAAGTCTTGTCCTTCAAACCAACCTTTTTTTAAAGAAAAAAAAACTTGAATTTCTTTTATCTTTACTACTTTTTTTTTAAAAAAAAACGACAACAACAAAAGATTCTCCTGTGAATGTGCTGTTTACCGTTCATTCTTTCTTCTTGGTTTTGATTTGAAGCTGCGAAGCTGGGTGTCTGTGGAAATGTTGTTATTTCTGTGTTTCTCAGGATAATAAGCGGCAATCATCCCTGCCACAGAAAGGGCAGGAGAACGGGGGAAACTTGGGGAACTAGTTTAAGTATGAAGCTGATTTCTAAGTTGTAGATGACGTGTGAGTCGGGGGCATCGCGTGGGGTGTCAGGATCAAGCTGCGGCGTTTCTCTGGGTTCACGGTGTGCTGTTCGCAGCACGCAGAAGCTCAGGGATAAGTATTTAAATGTGACCCAGAGAAACCCTGGCTTTGATGTTGCGACAGTTGCTTCTTTCGTGACTTGTTTGGAGAACCCATCGGAGGCTGAATAAAGCCCCTGGCAGAGATTTTTGGGGGAAATCTTTTGGTTTGGCTTGTGGGAAGTTTGCCTGCTGCAGGATTTGATGCATCCAAAGGGAACAGCATCCCGATGCTGCACGCTGCCGGCCGCGGCCAGGGGAGCTGGGGCTCGTAGGACTGATGTTGGGGTCTGCTCTGCCCGGGGGGCTGGGGGGAGAGCAGGGCTGAGCCCATTTCGGGGGAGCAGGGGGTCTGCTGGGGCTGCCCTGCTCCCCTCTGCTGCAGCCCCTCTCCCCGTGGTGCCCAGCCCTTCTCCGCGGGACAGGGAAACTGTATTTCCACATTCAGTGGTTTGGAAATACCTCATTATTCGGTCTTTGGTGTTAAATGTGTTTGAGGGCTCATGGAAAAGGGGAAAATGGAAATTTTTCAATACATCCCTGGCAGCTGGTGCTGATGTTCTGTACTCAAGTTGTTGCTGATGAATTAGAGCATTTTAACTTCCAGACAGTACAACGTTCTCATCGTGGGTCGGTAAGGCAGTAGGTTCATTGAGGCTGCTTGAGAAAGGTCCTGACATGTGCCAGGAGCTCGATTCCGCTGCTCCGAGCATCCGAAGGCCGGTCCAGCCCAATGCGGCCGTGGCAGGGCCGGCACTGAGCCAGGGCAGCAGCAGTTTGCAGAGCTGGAACCCACCGTCCAGCAGTCCCACTGGCCAGGATCTGCAAATCTGAGTTCAAACCAGCCCTGCAAACAGCTGGGGAGGCCAGTCCAGGCAGTATCTTCCTCTTAAAAAAAAAAAAAATTCAAAAGAGCTCCTGTGCAGCTGCCCTCTAACAGGTCCATGAAAGAAGCAACATGGTTCAGTGGGAGAAGTGCCCCCAAGGGCAAAAAGAAACAGAAATTGAAACCAGATGATGATCAACCTTAACAAAGCCTTTTGTGATTCATTGTTTTCTTTCAATTTATAAAATGTCTTGTAATAGTTGATAACATTATTGACTCAATTTCCATAACAAAACTACCTCGTGTGACATCCTGTTTATCATCTCAAAGGGATTGTGTGAAAAACAAAATCCTGGCAGCCTGTGTCCAGCCAAGAAGGGGCGATGGCTGGAGTTGTGTTTCCCTTCCTGTGGCTTGTGGCTGGGCTCCTGTTCCTGCAGGAGCGTTTCAACCCGCGGGGAGGGGTTTGACTTTGCACCCCCTGGACACCTGGTCCCCCGGACGGCACTGGGCTGAGCACGCCGTGCTGTCACCCAGCACCCATGGCCACCGTGCTCTCAGCCCATTGGCAGCATGGGCAGCGTCCTGGGGCTACCCCGCGTGTCCCCGCACGGCGAAGGTCTGCGATCCGCTGGCAGGGGCTGAGCTGCAGCG